GGGGGTTGTCCCAGGACAGGATGGCACTGGGGGGGAGATTCCTGGAACAGATGATGTCCCTGGGGAAGGGGGAAAAAGCGGGTCCCGAGGGTGGGTGACTCTGGGGGAGGTCCCAGGGCAGGGGGAGGTGGGGACGATTGTAGGGGATCCCGAGGGAGTCTGTAACCTGCGGGGGCTGGGGGGCGGTGACACAGGGGGGTCACACCCGGGGGTGACTGGGGAAGGGGAGGGCACGGCGGGTGGGTCACACCGGGAAGATCCCAGGGCAGGCAGGGGGAAGTTACCGGGGAGGTCCCAGCGGCGGTCCTGGGGAGGGGTCACAACCGGGGAAAGGCCTGGGGAGGGTCACGCCGGGAGGGGCCACACCGGGGATGGGGGCCGCCTCTCTCTCGTTAGGGACCTCCCTCCAATCCCTCCCCATCCCCCTCCCACCCTAGCCCGTTCCCCTGCTCCCATCTCCGGTGGAAACGGCCCCCTGGTGCCGAGCGGGGTCAGAGTGGCCCCGAGGGTGCCGGAGGGTCTCGCGGGGGGTGTCATGGGGGGGTCGGTCCGTACCTGCCACGGCCCTTTCGCGCTCCGACCGAGCCCGGCCCCGCCGCCCCCCCGCCGCCGCCACCCGGAAACGGAAACCCCCGCCCCCGCCGCCGCTTCCGGGGCCGCCATCCCCGGGCGGAAGTGAAGGCTGCCTTTGCGCATGCGCACAGTGGCTGCTTGACGCCGAGCACTGCACCGCCATCGTGGATGAGGGCAGTTGCCACGGCAACGGTGCGGCCTGGACCCCTCCGAGAGCCCCCGACCCTCCCTGACCCACCCACAGGAGAGGGATTCACCCCCTTGATCCCCCCTGACTCACCGAAATCGGGTTTGACTGCGGCCCGACCCCACCCTCAACTCCCCGGCCCCTCCGGGAGCGGGACCGACACCCTCCCACCCGACAGTCCTCTCCCCCGCTGCCCCTACTCGCGACCCACCTTTTGGACCCCCTACTACAATCCCCTTTTGGGCCCCTCCTCACTATGACCCCTCCCTTTGGGGTCTCCCCCGTTACCCCTTTCGGGGGCTGGTCCCCCGCTTTTCTCTGCTCCCTTTATTGCCCCCCTCCCCCAACCCCCGGGGCAGGTACTGGCCCTCCCCGTGGAGTCTGGGAATTGAAGGGGATACTGGAAATGGGGCACTGGGATTGGGGGAATGAAGGGCACTGGGAATGGATGTGGGGACACTGGGGACAACGGGCATACCAAACATGGGTGGGGGACACACACTGGGAATGATGGGGGGATACTAGGGATAGGTGGGGGGTACATTAGGGATGGGGGGGGATACACTGGAGACAGGGAATAGGTTTGGACAATGGGAATAGGTTTGAGGACCCTGGGAATGGGTGGGGGGCCACAGTGGGAATGGGTTGTGAGGACACTGGGAATGGGAGGACGTATGGGGTCACCACTGTTCTCTCTTCCCACATACCCAAGGACACAGTCCTGACCCTGCCCCCTGCCCCAGAACCCTCTGGGGCCCTTTCCTGAGTCTTGGACTTCGCTCCTTGCCCCTTGCTGATGTAACCAGAGGAAAATTCCATCCTGGAAAGGGGAGAGAGGAGCTGGGAGAGCCTGATCTGGGAGAGCCTGATCCCAAGAAAAGCTTCTCCTGGGAGCACCTAGTTCTGGGATCACCTGGGCCTGGCAGCACCTCGTCCCGAAAAATTCCAGCTGGCAGAGGTGAGAGGAGCTGGGAACACCCGAGTCTAGGGAGCCTGATCCCCAGAGAAACCCATCCTGGGAACACCTAATTTTGCGATTATTTTATCCTAGAATTACCTTATTCCGGACAACCATAAGTCTGGAATCACTTTATCCCAGGAGAATTTCATCCTGAGAGAACCTTATCCCAGGAGATCCTTATCCCACAGTCACCTAATTCTGGGACCATCTTATCCTAGGAAAACGAGGATCAGTTTATCCAAGGATTATCTCCTTCCAGGAGAGGCTCATCCCGGGATCCCCCATCCTGTCACCTTCTGCCAATTCCAGGGTCCCTCCCAGTGCATTTCAGGGTCTCCCTGTGTTCTCCTGCCATGGCTGAGCCCTCTGGGATAGGGGACAGCATCCCATTGGATGATCCCGGCCTGGACATCGCTGCTGGGGAGGAATTCCTGCAGGAAGTGTTCCAGATCCTGCTGGAGGAGGGTGTGCGGAAGAGCACAGATGTGACAGAGAAGGTTGGGACACCAGAGCATCTGGGAGGGTGGGGGTCCCCAATCCCACCCCATTCCATTCCCATTTCCCATCCCAATCTCAGTCCGGATCCTATTCCTGTCCCCACAGGTGTGAGACTAGAAGGAGCCCCCTGGGAGGGGGTGAGGTCCCCAGTGTCTCCCTATCGCCTGTCCTATTCCCAGTCATTCCCTATCCCAGTCCCAGTCCCATTCTCATTCCCAGTCATTCCCAATCCTATTCCCAGGAATTCCCAGACGTGTGACAAGAAGCTGACATGGAAGGGGGTGGGGGTCACAATATTGCTCCTTTCCCAGTCCCATTCCCATTCTGAATCCCAGTCCAGTCCCATTCCCAATCCTGTTCCTAATGCAAGTCCCACTTCCAATCCTGTTCCAATAGCCTGTCCCATTCCCAATCCCGTTCTCAGTCCCATTCCCATTTCCAGTCCTGTTCCCAGTCCCATTCCCAATTTTATACTCAGAACAGGATTGGGAGTGGGACTGGGATTCAGTATAAGTCCCAGCTGCAGTCCCATTCTCATTTCCAGTCTCATTCCCAATCTTGTTTCCATTCCCAGTCCCATTTGTGATCCCATTCCCAGTCCCATTCTCAATGCCATTCCCAGCCTATACCCTCTGCAGTTTCCAGTCCTGTTCTCAGTCTCTCCCAGTCATTCCCAGTGTATTCCCAGGTGTGTGACTGGAAGGAGCCGCAGGAGCTGCGGGAGCTACTGGATCTGGAGCTGCGGAACGACGGGGAGGGGCAGGAGCGGCTCCTGAGGCGCTGCCGGGACGTGCTGCGCCTCAGCGTTCGCACTGGTGCGTTCCTAGTGCATACCAGTACACAGGAGTACAGCCCCAGGGCAGGCCCAGTGCCTCCCAGTTTAGCCCTGCACAAACTCCCAGTTTGGCACGGCGCCTCTCACTTTAGCCCAGCAGGTCCCGGTTCAGCCCCAGCGGTTCCGAGTTCAGCCCCTGATGCCTCCCAGTGTCAAACCTTGTCACCCCCGCCATGTCCCCCTCCATGTGCCCCCTGATCTTCCCTGTCTCCTGTCGCCGCCCTCGTGTCCCCCCTTTCCCGCCCACATCCACTCCCTGACCCCTCCATGTCCCCCCAGCTCTCCCATGTTCCCTCATGTCCCTTCCGTTCCCTCCCTGCCCACCCCTGATCCTCCCACGTCCCTCCTGTGTCACCTCTGACTCCCCTATATCCCCAATGCCCCCCAATTTTCCCATTTCCTCCCACCCCCCCATTCTGCCCTCCATGTCCCCCCCCCCATCTCGCTAATCTCCTTATGACCCACCCATGTCCCCTCTGAACCTTCCAGATCCTTCCCTTACCTTCCTGAGTGCCATCCTCAACCCTCTCATGTGCCCCCCCGTTTTCCCCATCCCTTTCCATATCTCCCTCTGTCCCCTCCATGTCCTCCCCTGACCACTCCATGTCCCCCCAGGTCACCCTCGGTTCTTCAACCAGCTTTTCTCGGGGCTGGACCACCACGCCCTGGCCGGGCGGTTCCTCACCGAGACCCTCAACACGAGCCCGTGAGCCCCCGACACCCCCAAATGGGGGCTGGTGGGTGGGGGGGACCCCCCAAAACCAGCCATTACCCCCCCACCCCACACCCGCCCAGATCCACCTGCAAGGAGCCCTTGGTGCTGATGGAGTGGGAGGCGCTGGGGGAGGGGTTTGGGGATGTTGAGGAGCCCGAATGAGAGAAAACCCTCCAAAACCCTATCCTGACTCCCCTGATCTAGCCCCCAGTGCTGGTGCTGGTGGAGTGACCATTGTGGGGGGAGGGTTTTGGGTGCTGAGTGGGAGCATTTTGGGGTGCTGAGGCTCCAGGGGAAGGTGTTTGGGGTTCTGAGGTTTCAGGGTAAGGGGAACCCTCCCACTCCTGCTGGGTCCTTCCAGATATACATACGAGGTGGCCCCGGTGCTGGTGCTGATGGAGGAGCAGGTCCTGGCCAAGCTCCGGGAGCTCGTGGGGTGGAGCAGCGGTGACGGGATCTTCGCTCCTGGTATCCTGGACTCTTCCTGAGGGTTATCCCTGTCCTCTCTCTCCCCGTGGCAGCCTGTCCATGGTGCCCCAGGGGTGACACGGAGGTCCCTGTCCCTGGGCAGGAGGCTCTATGTCCAACATGTTGGCCATGAACGTGGCGCGATTCCGGCGTTTCCCAGAGAGCCGGAGCAGAGGGAACTGGGACCTGCCTCGCCTGGGCCTGTTTGCATCCCAGGAGGTGGGAGTTTGGGGTCACCCCAAAACCTGATCCTCGGGGTCATCCCAATTCTGATCCATGGGGTCATTGCAAACCATATTCCTGGAGTCACCCCAAACCTGATCATGAGCTCACCCCAAAACCTGATCCCTGGGATCCCCACAAAACCCGATCCTGGGGTCATCCCAAAACCTGATCCTGGTGTCACCCCAAAGTTGATCCTGGAGGTTGCCCTAAACCTGATCCATGGAGTGACCCCAAAACCTGGTCACTGAGGTCACCCCAAAACCTGGCCCATGGGATCACCCCAAATCTGGTCCCTGGGGTCACCCTGAAATCTGATCTATGGGGTCACCCCAAGTCTAGTCCCTGAGATTACCCAAAATCTGAGGTCAACCCAAGTCTGGTCTCTGAGGTTACCCACAATCTGGTTCCTGGGGTCCCCCCAATCCTAGTCCTGTTTTCCTGCCCAGAGCCATTATTCCATCCTAAAAGGAGCTGCTCTCCTGGGAATTGGCACAGACAACGTTCACCTGGTGCGGACAGATGAGAGGTGGGTGCTGGGAGGTCCCGGGGGGCCCCAGGTCAGGGGGTCCCTCCGTGTCTCCATCTCGGTCCCTTCCCCTCAGGGGGAAGATGATCCCGGAAGAGCTGGAGAAGGAGATCCAGAGGGTGAAAGCTGAGGTTGGGAGAGTCTGCACCCTGATGTCCCCAAAGCCCCCAAACTCCCCAATGCCTTCCCAGTGTTCCCAAAGCTCCCTCAAAGCCGTGTCCCCCTCTAAGTCCCCAAAGCCTCTCCAATGTTCCCAAACCCCTTCCCATGTCCACAAACCCCCCATGTCCCCCAGTGTTCCCCCAAATCTTCCCAATGTCCCCGCAAATAACCTGAATCTCCTCCAATGCCCCCCTCCAATACACCCAATGTCCCCTCTCCTCCCTGGGCCTTCTGTTCCCCTTAAAGTCCCCTGTCTGCCCCAAAGTCCTCTGAACCCTGTTTCCTGCACCCCCAATGTCCCCCCGTATCCTCCAACCCCCCAACCTACCTACTGAGCCTCCTCAAAGTCCCCCCAAATGCCTGGCCAGGGCTTGGAGGCCCTTCTTTTTCTGTACCACTGTCCTGGTCAGCTTTGACCCTCTGTGCCTCCCTGTACCCTATCTCCCAAATCCCCCCCAAGCCTTCCTAGATCAACCATGACCTCTCCAGATCCCCTCCAAATTGCCCCAGAGCTTGCTTAAATGCTCCCTCAGGACTCGGAGTCCCTTCTTTGTGCCACCATCCCAGGCACCTTCAGCCCTCTGTGTCCTCCTGTCCCCTATCCCCAAATCCCCATCAATCCCCATCAAGTCTCGCCAGGTCCCCCCAAACCCCCTCAAATCCTCTGCAATCCCCCTCAACTCCTCCCAAAGCTCTCTGAAATGCCCCCCCAGCACATGGAGCCCCTTCTTTGTCTGTGCCACCATCCTGGCCACCTTCAACTCCCTGTGCCCCCCATGCCTTCTACCCCCTTCCATGCCCCCAGCACTCTCAACATGCCCAAGCTCCTCCCTAATCCCCCCCAGGGCTCGGAGCCCCTCTTTGTGTGTGCCACGAGTGGCACCACTGTCCTGGGCAGCTTCGACCCGCTGGACGCCATCGCTGACATATGTGCCCGCCACGGGCTGTGGCTGCATGTGGATGTGAGTTCAGGGGGGTCCCTGGTTTGGGGGGGGCCAAGTGTCCCTCTGTGGGTGCTGATCCCCCTTTCCCTGCAGGCAGCATGGGGGGGCAGCGCCCTCTTGTCCCCCCAACTCCGTCACCTCCTTGCCGGCATCCACAGGTGTGTCCCTCTCTCTGCCCCCCTAAAAGGCTCCCACCCCTCCCCCTCCGAGTTTTTGGGGATCCCCTTTTCCCCACAGGACCCCCCCAACCTCTGCTGTTGCCCCCACCAGAGCTGACTCGGTGACCTGGAACCCCCACAAGCTGTTGATGGTGGGATTGCAGTGCTCGGCATTCCTGCTCCGTGACAGCTCCGTAGGTGCTCCCCATCCTGAATTCCTGCCCCTGGGATGACTCCCCGGGCTCCTTCATTAATTTTGGGTGTCCCCTGCCCTTCCCAGGGGCTCCTGCAGCGCTGCCACGGTGTGGGGGCCACATATCTGTTCCAGCGGGACAAGTTCTACGACGTGTCCCTGGACACAGGGGACAAGAGCCCCCAGTGCGGCCGCCGCGCCGATGGCCTCAAGCTCTGGATCCTCTGGAAAGCCGTGGGAACGCGGGGGCTGGCATGGCGTGTGGAGCGGGCGTTCGCTGCCACTCGGTGAGCCCCAGGATCGGAGGGATCCTCCACCCTCCCAAACTGGGCTTCAGCACTTTGTTCCCCCCAGGTATCTGTTGGAGCAGGTGAAGAGGAGGGAGGGATTCCAGCTGGTGATGGAGGTAGGGATGATGCTGAAATGTGGGATAGGGAAGGGATGTGGACACCTAAGAGTCCTGGAGGTTGGAATGCCACAGGTTTAAATAATCCTGGAGGTTTAACTCCCAGGGGATTAATCCCAAAAGTTTGAATCCCCAAGGTTTGGTAGGCTGCTAGGAGAGTCTGTGGAGATCCGATGCTCCAGACCTGGGAAGCCGCCAACCTTCCCAGAGAGAGGGTCCCACAAGGGACAGCCTTCTGAGGGGGTCTGGAGCCTTCTGAGGGGGTCTCTGGCACGTCTCTTAGTCACGGGTAAACCTCAGCAAGCTGCAGCCTGTGGCCACAAGTGATCAGCTCTGATCAGTGATTTCAGCTCAGTGATTTCAGCTCTGTCTGCGAGGCCATCCCAGGCCGACTCAGGGACAGAGAGACAGAAGTGTCCCTATGGCGATTCTACAGATTCCTTTGTTATCCAGCAGCTCTGGGAAGGGCGTGAGGGATGACAGCTCCCCAGAGAACTGGGGGAAAAGCCAGAATTTTTATGGGGGAAAGCAAGGGCGGTACCAAGGGGGAAAGACCAATGGGTTACAAAGGATTACCATGGGCACTAGGGCATGGTGGGATCACTGAAGCCTTTGGGGATAGCTTACCATGATAACAAAAGATGTGCCAGCCTAAGGAGCATCCTTCCAGGATGGTTGACATAAGCTAATCACAGCCCACCCAAGGGACATTGTATTCAAAGGACATTTCTCCAGGGCAAGGTTGCAGGCAGAGCTATGGCAGGCCTATGGTTCTCCACAAGGTTTAAATTCCAGAGTTTTCAATTGCATAGGCTGAAATGTCAGAGGTTTGAATTGTCTCAGAAGTCTAAATCTTGGAGGTTGAAATCCCTGAGGACAAATCCCAGAGGTTTAAATGCCAGAGTTTGAAATCCTGGAGATTGGAAGTCCAGAGGTTTAAATCGTGGAGGTTTTAAATCTCTCCAGAGGTTTGAATCCCTGAGGATTAACTCCAGAGTTTGAAACTTTGAAGATTTAAATCCCAGAGATTTAAATAATCCTAGAGTTTTTAATTATCCTGGAAATTTCCACTTTGGAGGTTTAAATCCTGAAGGATTAAATCCTGTAGGTTCCAATCCCAGACAATTAAATACACATGGCTGAATTCCTGGCGGTCTGAATCCCCATCAAATTCTGGGCATTGGGTGAATGGCCATGACCTCCTTCCTTTTCCTCTCCCCACAGCCGGAATTCCTCAACCTCTGCTTCTGGTTCATCCCACCCAGCCTGAGGGGCCAGGACAGCTCCCCAGAATTCTGGGACAAACTGGGAAAAGTGAGAATTCCAAATTCCGCCCCCCAACAGCCCTCCAAATCCCCAAAAAATAACCCAAACATAAAAACAAAATCCTCCTGAAATGGTGTTTCCCCCCAGGTGGCCCCAGCCATCAAGGAAAAGATGATCCGGAGGGGTTCCATGATGGTGGGATACCAACCCCATGGATCCCGGGTCAACTTTTTCCGGCAGATTATCACTAATCCTGCTGTCACCCGCCAGGACCTGGACTTCTTCCTGGATGAGATCCAGGAATTGGGATGGGATCTGTGAGCAATCTCAAAACCCCCATGAAAGACTCCAAAACTTGCCCCCCGTCCCTGAGGAATAGGACCAGAGCCTTGATTTCCTCCCCACATCCAAAAATCAGAAATGACCCCAAAATTCCACACTTACGGAATAAAAATAAAACAGCTTTTAATGGTCCTGATCTGATAATAATTTGATATAACCCCACCCCATAAAATGGGGTTTGGGGTGTAGGGCGTCCCTCAATTCCCCTGGAAGCTCCAGAGGATGTTGTGCATTCTGGGATCAGGATGTAGTGGCCTTGTGACTCCCCTGACATTCTCATGACTTCCTGAAGCTCCAGAGGTTGGAATTTGTACGGAAGGGGATCTTCCAAGGGTCAGCACCTGAAAAACTCTTGGGAGGGTACCACAAAACCAGCTGCTTCCATCCCTGAGGAAGTGGAGCAGAGCCTAGACTTCCTTCTGGAATCTTTAAATCAGGAATAAAGATGGAAGTTCTTGGTGCTTCATACCAAAATTCTACTCTCATGGAATAAACAGCATTTAATGGTCCCAATTTTATACGAATTTGATATCACACCCCCTCTCCCCCCGAAATGGGGTTTGGGAGTCCCTCAATCTCCCTGGAGGCTCTGGAGGAAGTCGAGGATTCCGGGATCAAGCCGGGCGTGCTCAAGGCAGGATCGGAGCTGAGACACTGTGGCATCCTGTCGCTCCCGCTGCCACCATTCCCGCAGCATCTGGAAATTCCACAGGACAGGACTACCGGGGTTTTCCTCCTGGATCTGCTCCAGCCGGCTCCGCTCCAGCCCTAGATGCAGAATTCCCACTTCCTGCCACTCTTTTCCCAATCTTTGGGCGACTTGCATCAAATCCTTCTCCGTCAAGCGCCAGGGATTCACTGGTGGAGCTGGAATCCCACCGGGACGACATCCTGAAGTGGGGTCCCCCCTCACATTGGGGGTGTCCCCGTTAGGCTCCCAGGGAATTTCCTCTGGGATCTGCTCTTCCAGGGGCAGCTGGAAGCGCTGGATGAGGTCGTGGCGGCCGAGCTGCCGCAGGATCCCGGCGATCACACGCAGAGAATTCCCCGGGAAGCGCTGGAGGAGGATCCGGCACAACTCGGGGCGTGATGCCGGGAGCAGAACTCCGGCAGGAATTTGCTCTTCTAGCAGGAACTTCAGACTCTGGAATTGCTCCTCCGGGAGCGCCAGGTGCACCTCCAGCAGCGTCACTCGCTCGTCCCTCGCCATGGGGACAGAAAATCCCTCAGGGAAATGGGGTCACTCCTGGGACACAAAGGTTGGAAGAGGGGGGTCATCACGCATCCCAGAAAGTGGGATAAAAAGGGGCCCCTTCCTGGGCCCCAAAAATTCGGGGTAAGGGTGGAAAGGGGTCGCCCTATGATCCACAAACTAGGGGTAGATGGATCACCGCCCACCACGAGGGCTTTCCTGGTGCCCCCGGTCCCCTCAATCTGTCCCGAGGCTGAGCCCTCCCAGTGTCCCCCTAGAGCACCCCACCCTACCATAAGACTCCCGAGTGTCACCCCAGTTCCACCCCTACCCTGGGGCTGGATCCTCCCCAGTGCTCCCCTATCCCTCCCTGGGCCTGGGCCCACGGTGTCACCCCAGTGCCCCCAGTTGGTCCTGGCTCCCCTCCATGTCCCTCCCGCTGTCGCCGCCATGCGGCTAGAGCCCTTTGTTCCGGGCCCCCACGTTCTCGCGGTGCCCTCGGTGCCTCCCCAGCCCGGACCCCCACCGTTCTCCCCCCTCCAGGCTCCCGGTTCTGCCCCCGCCCCCGTCCCGCTCTCACCGCGCTCCGCTCCCGCCACCGGGACCGGGCGGTTCCGCGCTGGGGGGCGGGGGCCGGGCCGGGGGGCGTGGCCTCTGCTCCCGCCACAGCCGCTGCCATGGCAACGGAGGCGGGGCTTGGTTTGGCTGGGCGGGGCGTGCCCTGCCCGGGGCGCGCCTCCACCTGCAGGGGCCGGGGCCGGGCCCTAGCGGGGTCCGGGGGTCCTGGGGGAGCTCCGGGGGCGGTTCGGGGCTGCGGGGAGTGAGTGCCCAGCCCCGAATGCCCCAAGTCCCTCTAGTACCCCCCAACAATCCTCCATTCCCCAATCCTTCAGTCACTTCCAGTACCCCCACTCCCCCCAGTCTCTCAGTCCCCTCAGTAAGCCCCAATCCGTCAAACCCCCAGTATCCCCCAGTTCCCTAATCCTTCCCATCAACCCCCAATACCCTGGAATCCCCATTCCCTCTAGTCCTCCCAACTGTCCAGTACCCCCAGTATCCTCCAGCCCCTCCCTTCCCCCAGTTCCCCCCAGTAACCTTGAGAAACTCGTCAGTAGTCCCTGCAATTCCTCAGTCCCTCCAGTATCTCCCAGCACCTCCTAGTCCTCCAGCATCCTCCAGTACCCCCTAGGCCCACTCGTATCCCCCAGTTCCCCAGCTTCCCCACTCCCCCTAGTATTCCCCAATCCCCCTAGTGAACCCCAGCTCCCCCAGTCCCCATAGAATCCTCCAATTCCTCATTCTCATCATTATCCCTGACACCACAGTATTCCCCAATCTCCCAGTTCCCCCAGAAATCCATTATCCCCCAGTCTCCGCAGTCACCCCAGTATCGTCCAATCCCCCCCAATCTCTCAGTAGCCCCCACAGTCCCGTGTATCTCCCAAGCCCCTCAGCGTCCCCGAAGTGCAACCTCCCCAAAGTGTCTTCTCCGTGTTCTCCCAAAGCAGACAGACCTGGTCACCCCTCCCTCGACTCCCCCAAGCCCGTCCCACCACCGATGGTGGGAGGATCCTTATTGTTCCTCCCTCTTGTTTCTTTTATGGGGTCGGCTCCCCTCCGGGGGCGGGTTTGGGGGGGGTCGTCCGGGGCGGACTGGGAGCAGTCGGAGCCACTGAGCGGCCCTCTCGCCCTTTCCCTCTCACCCTCGTCCGATCCCCCTGAGCCCCCCCGTGCTCCCCAACAGCGGTGAGTGACCACCGGGGACATCTCCTCCAAACTGACAGTGAGCAACTCCCCCTCATCTCCCCCTTGTCCTTTTCTTTTTTCCGCTTCCCCTTCCCAGAACTGCCTGCGATGGCTGCGGTGCGAGAGCGGGGAGCGACAGGAATTTAGGGGTTCCTCCATGGGGGAATGGGAGGGGCTGTGGGATGGGACGAGGGTGGTGACGTCATGTCGCGGTGTGTTCCCAGCATCAGGAGGGGCGCGGAAGGGGTTGGGGTCAGGCGGGATCCCTCCCTTGGGGGCGGCAGCGACCTCCCCGTGGGGTGTCCTCGGGTCCCTCCAGTTCTCTCCCTGCGCCCTCTCTCCCCCCCGGTAGGGTCCTCCTATCCAGGTGACGGCGGCAATGGACGCGCGGGGGGTGTTGGCCCCCCGAAATCCCCCTGACCCCCCGGATCCTCGGGACGCCCCTCTGCTCGAGGCTCCCCCCACAGGTGAGACCACCCTACCTCCCCCAAAAGAGGCCTCTGGTCACGGTAAGAAGTTCTGAGGGGACCCCCTGGAATCGCAGAGGGGAGAGGGGTGTTTTTCTGGGAGTCCTCTGGGGACTTGCAACATGGAGGAACCCTGCCCCCATGGTACAGGGAGACCTCAAACCTGAGGGAGGGACCCGGGTCCCAGGGGGTCCCAGGGATGTGAGGGGGATTCCCCCCATGTGGTCCCATGGTGTGATGAGACCCCTATCACAGAGTATGGAGGTGACTCCATCCCAGAGTAAAGGAATCCTAGGAATGTCAGGGTGCCCCATTCCCATGGCATAGGGGTACCTGAATTCCAGGTCCTCCTCCCTTGGGGGACACAGAGATGTGAGAGTGTCCTGTTCCCATTGTGTGGGGTACCCCAGTTCCAAGGTATTCCCATTTCCCATGCCTCAGGAGGTGTGTCACATTCCTGTGACACGAATTCCAGGGTCTGGGGGTGTCCCAGTCCCATGGAATGACGTACCTTGATCCTGAAATATGAGGGTTCCCCAATCCCAGGATATGAGAATTCCAGGAATTTGGGGTTGTCCTATTCCCATGGTCTGGGGTGTCCTGTTCACAGGGTATGGTCCCAATTCCAGGGCAAGATGGTGCCTCAGTCCCAAAGCTCAGTCCTGGGTGCAGTAATATCTCATTCACATGGAATAGGGGTGTCCCAGTGTTGGGGTACAGGGATGTCCCATTCACGTGGAATGGGGTACCCCCATCCCAGGGTATGGGGGTGCCCTGATCCCAGGATATAGTAGCATCACAATCCCATAGTTCAGGGTCAATATCATCTTATTTGGGGGTGCAGGGTTCTAATCTCATGGCATGGGAGTGCCCCAGTAATGGGATCCTGATCCCATGGAATGGGGGTGTCCTGATTTTGAGGTGTAAGAATGTCCCAATCTCACATGATGGGAATGTCCCAGTATTGGGGTGCAGAGTTGCCCCAAACCCGTGAGATGAGGGTGTCCTGATTTTGGGTTGCAGGGGAGTTTCTAGGTACCCTACCTCTATCCCTGGTTTTCAGAGGGAATTTGGGGTCACGCCTGGATAACACTCCATGTCTGTTCCAGTCCCTGCCCCCCCCTTGCACCCCAATCCCCAACCCTTGTCTGGGTGAAAGTGAGGGAGTTGTGGGGAGCTGAACTCTGACTTTGGAATATGATAGGGATAGGGTTAGGAAAGGGGAGGGAGGGGGCAGAAACAGGTATGGGGCAGGGGAAGAAGGGATGAAGAAAGCTCAGAGGGGATGGAGAAGGGGAAGAGGGGAGAGAATGGGAAGAGGGAATGGAGTGGATAAGGATGGGAAAAGGAAAGGGAAGAGAGGATGGGAAAATGGGAAGAGGGATTGGAGAAGTTGGAAAAGAGCCTGGGGAAAGGATAGTGGGATAGAGCAGGTACAAATAAGATGGAGAATGTGGAAAAGGAATGGAAAAGGGGAAGAGAGGATGGAAAATGGGCAGAAGGATGAAAGTACCAGTGGGACCAGGATAGGACAGAGGGCCTGGAGTAGGTGCCAGTTGGAAAGGGCGGGTGTCATTGGGATAGAGCAGGTAGGGATGGGAAGGAACAGAGGAATTGGGGGCAGGTGCTGATGGGAAGGGACAGGTACATACGGAGTGGAGAGAGGGATTGGAGCATGTGCTGATGGGATGGGGCAGGGGCCAAGGGGCCCCATGCCCCTGTCCCTGTCCTACCCCGGTGGTGCCCAGCCCCCTCTCCCACAGCCCATCCCGGCCTAGCCCGGCCACGCCGGAAGCCTCCCAGGCCCCCTGTGAGGGGACCAAGACCCCTGAAGGAGCTGCTGAGGGCAGAGGGGGCCAGGCTGCACCACACTATCTGTGGGGAGTGTGGGAAAGGCTTCAGCCGGAGCTCGGACCTGGTGCGGCACCACATCACCCACACTGGGGAGCGACCATTCACCTGTGGCGCCTGCGGGAAGGGCTTCAGCCAGAATTCCAACCTGGCCACGCACCAGCGCATCCACACCGGGGAATGCGGGAAGAGCTTCAGCGTCAGCTCCAACCTGCGGCGACACCACCGTACCCATGGCCGAGAGCAGCCCCACCTCTGCCCCGAGTGTGGGGACACTTTCTGGAACCCTGGCCAGCTCCAGAGGCACCGCAGGGAGCACGTGGTGTGAGGGGGAAGAGGGGTGGGCATGGAGACAGGGACACCTGGATGGGGATCAGGACACCTGGGTGGAGGTGGGACACATAGGTGAGGATGGGGAGGATGGGATGGAGATGGGGACAAGGAAACCATGGTTGAGGCACAAGGATGGAGATGTGTTGGTTTGGCACAGTCTGGTTTTTGGTAGCTGGGGGGGCAGCACAGGAATGGCTTCGAGCCAGCGTCTGATGGCTCTGAAGACGGGCAAGCTGCTGGCCCAATTAGAGAGGTTGGTAACGCCTCTGTGATGACATATTTAAGAAGAAAATTTAAAAAAAGAGTTTGCAGAGCTGTTTTCCAGTGGTGGCCAAGCAGGGCTCCCAGCACAGCCTGCAGCAATCTCAGCAGGGCCCATGGCAGGCCTTGGCCTTGCCTGTCTGGCTGCCCCAGGCCAGCTGTGCCGCAGGTGAAAAGGGCAGGGACAGTGGATGGGGGTGGCGGCTTCCCCTTCCCAACCGCTGCATGGGGAGAGGTGTTAAATGGCACTGCCTGTGCGATGACCGCCTGGCCAGCAGCAGAAACGTGGTGAGCAATTCCCTGACACGAAATCTAGACAAAATCAACTTAGTGCTGCAGGATCCTGCAGAAATAAATCTAGACGAAATCAACTTAGTGCTGCAGGATCCTGCAGGAATCTTTGAATTGGTGGAACTGGTTGACAGTGGTATGAACATGCAGCAGTTTTTCTTCTAGTTGGAGAACAAGAGGAAATGAGATCATGTGAAGGGAAACACCATGGTGGCACCAAGGTCAGTGGAAGAGAAAGAGGGAGGGAAGCGCTCCAAGCGCTGGAGCTGATTCCTCTGCAGGCCATAGTGATGACTATGGTGAAACAAACTCCCCCTGTGATGCATGAAGTCCATGGGGGATGCAGAAATCCACTGGCAGCCCGTGGGAAAAGTGCTCCCGCCAGAGCAGGTGGATGCCAGAGAAAGCCATGATCTAGTGGGAGACCTGAATAGAGAGAGAGGGCCCCTGCTTCCAAACTAGAGCAGCCTATCCTTAGAGGACTGCACCCTGTGGATGAGTAACCCATGCCACAACAGTTTCGGGATGACGGTCCGTGGGAGGGGCCTGATCATTTAGCAGAAAAAAGACTCCTCTCCCTGAGCAAATAGAAGTTCGAGTGACGAACTGACCAAAACCCCACGCCATCTCTCTGCACTCTTGG